TTTAATTTTACTGTCTCCTAGTCAGATTTGTTTACTTAATATCAAGAGGTATATCTCAGCTTCTATGTAAGCCCCAATGCCAAAAAATAGATGGTAATTTTTAAATACCATTTGCAGGGATGAGGATAAAAAGAAGTCATTACAGCCACGTAAATATAGACCCGAGGGAAGTCAACCGTTTGTGCTCCTCTCTCATTAGTTTTGATACAGGCACCTGACACTGCCCACGTTTGAATTGACTGACTTCATAAACACAGACAGCAAATTGCTGTTTTGATTAAGTGTCTGACTGACTGTAACTAGCTGTTTGTGTGTAGGATGTTGTTTTTTTTTTAAATTTCCGCCTTTTTTCACCCGATCCGGTTTCTCGTTCCGCTTATAACTGAGTTTCCAGTGAATTACGGTCGGAAAGTGCACTCCACGTCGGCGAGGGTTGTCGACCGTCAAGAGGAGAAGAAAGCAGCGTACACGGAGGGTAGTTGTTACTTGTAGGACCTAGAGACTTCGACGATGTGAAAGCAACAGTCGATGGGCCAAGTTGGTAGAACTGGAGTTGCTTCCACTTGCTATTCATTACGTTTCCCAAGAGTTGGCCTACGGCTAAGCGAACAAACCACTTGTACCTAAAATATGTACGTAATAACAACCGTGATGATAGTAACGATGTTACCGTGTGGGGTGGTTCAACTATCTAGTCCCTATTACGGGGAAAGGGTTCTCATTTTTTATTATATTACACCGACGGTTTTTTATATTGAAGAAGGAGAATATAAAAGTGAAACCTATTGGCGAAGTGTCAGACCAAGAAAGAAAGTCGAGGTTACTGTCTTTTTAAATGTATATGTTAGGCCCGAACACCGAAAACGCTCATCGCGTTCTGGCTGCTTTCGAACGCACAGAACGCGTTTTGGCTGCTTTTAAACGCTCGTAACGCGTTCTGGTAACTGTTAAACAGCCGGAACGAGTTTTGTCAATTGTTGAACGCTCACAACGCGTTCTTAATGTTCGACTTGTATTATTTGCCGCTTTCTACCTGCGTACAATGAGATTTATATTGTACTTATAAAACAAATGAATTTCAATCCATTTTTCAGTTTTTAGGAAACAATTCAATTATTGACAACTATAATTGGATACCAAAGATGGGTTCGGTTTTTCTCGCCGAATCATTTCAACAATATTAAATTTCTTATAATTGTTTTTCAGTTCTAGGAAGAAAGTTACACT